CACCACTGCTCTTCCATCACAAACAGGGATGACTCTCAACAAATCCCACCAACTCCTGGGCTCATCATACAACATCTGTCTTACAGGGTCTCAAAGATTTGTGTGGTGGGTGACCTGGGAGATCTGGGCAAGGCCTTTCCCATGTGCCACATAAGAACCAGCAGCCTTGGAGGGGAAAAGCAAGGACAGAAAGGTTTCACAGACACATTTGAGAGCCCTGTTTCAGAAAAGAAACAGTTTCTCTCCTGAAAGTGTCAGCTTAAATTGCAACATTAAACTGCAAATGAAACCACTAAAGATTTGCTTCAAGGCCTCTTGCTGCAGATGCAGAGGAATCCCCAGATTCTTGGGGAGCTTCTGCTCGTGGCAGACAAAAAGCTGAGTCTGAGGGAGTCAGCAGCAGGGATGGTAAAACACAAAGGAGTAACAGCAACAGGAGGTATTAAATTAACTGATGTAGCCCCATTAAGGACGAGGGGAAGCCCAGGAGAGACTGAAATTTGGAGCCAAGGAGTGCAATGATCAAGGCAGAGGATCTGGAGACTAAGCCCCTCAAAAGGGGAATACGGTGAACGTGCCATTTCCATCGCAGGGCTGGCCAGACAGTCGGGCACAAGGAAGAATCAGAGACCAGAAAAAGCCTTTCCACTCCAGCCACCATCCCGAGGAACATCTGATCTAAGGGTTTTCTGGAAATGCGCTTTTCTGCCATCAGTACAACACAAAACGAACGGCTGCTGCCTATGGCAAGAGAAAGACAACAACTCAATTTAGCCCTTGCAGAGCTCAGATGCACAAAAACCAGAACAGAGCAAGGGGATGGAGCACCAAGACAGTGGCCAAGACATCATCTCTTTCTGCTGGGACACTGCTCCTTTGGGATGCTGGCATGGTAAACATTCCCCCCCTCGTTATGGAAAGTGATTTTACGTTTTCACCAATCCACCTGTGCGTGTCAGCCTGTAATCACAGAGATATCTAAGTGCCACTGCCAAAGATGCCAAGATGCAGTATTTACCATGCTCAAATCATGCTTCCACTGAACTCCTCTGTCACTGCCTCTAACTGCCAGTACTATCTCCACTTCCCAACGTGAGAACGCCGCAGACAGTCTCAAGTATCACCAAACCGTGCCACGGCTCCATCGAGTGCAAACCAGCCCTTGGTTCAACAGAAGCTACACATGCAAAACAGCACTAACGGGAGCCTCCGGAGACGATCCGTTAATTACTGCACCTCCCTCAC